TTGGAGGTTGCTGTGAGCTGTGATGCCATAGCATTCCACACAGGTAGATAGCTTGAGGCTCTGTCTCAAAAAAAAAAGAAAGAAAGAAAGTTGGCTCGGCATCTATCTCAGTGGTTAGGGCACTGGCCATACACCAGGACTGGTGGGTTAGAATCCAGCCTGGGCTTGCTAAACAAACAACAAAAATATAGCCAGGCATTATGGTGGGTGCCTGTAGTCCCAGCTACTAAGACTGAGGCAAGAGAATCACTTGAGCCCAAGAGTTGGAGGTTGTTGTGAGCTTTAATGCCACACCACTCTACCCAGGGTGACAAAGTGAGACTCTCTGTCTCAAAAAAAAAAAAAAAAAATCTCCAAAGTAGCGGAATCATAACATACTCACAGACCATCTTATGGAATTGGAAAAAGAAGAACAATCTAACCCTAAACCCAGCAGAAGAAAAGAAATAACCAAAAGTAAATCAGAGATTAATGAAATTAAAAACAAAACAAAAGAAAATCATTCAGAAAATTAATAAAACAAAAAGTTGTTTTTGTGAAAAAATAGATAAACCTTTGGCCAGACTAACTAAAAACAGAAAAGTAATATCTCTAGTAACTTATATCAGAAAGGAGAAATAACAAAAGACACCACAGAGATACAAGAGATTATCTCTGAATGCTACAAGAAACTCTATACCCAGAAATTTGATAATGTGGAGGAAATGGATCACTACTTGGAATCACACCCTCTCCCTAGACTTAATCAAAAAGAAATATATCTCCTGAGCAGACCAATTTTAAGCACTGAGATCAAAAAAACAAAAAATCTCCCAACAAAAAAATGTCCTGGTCCAGAAGGCTTCATACCAGAATTCTATGAAATCTTCAAAGAAGAGCTTATAGCCATACTAGAGGAACTATTCCAAAAAATTGGATACCAAAACCAAGAAAAGACCCACCTAAAAAGGAGAACTTCAGACCAATTTCACTAATGAAATAGATGCAAAAATTCTCAATAAAACCCTAGCCAAGAGACTACAGCTACACATTAAAAAATATCATTCATCATGATCAAATAGGTCTTATCCAGGGATGCAGGGCTGGTTTAACATGTCCAAGTCCATAAACATAATTCACCATATCAACAGAAGCAAAAACAAAAGAGCATATGATCCTCCCGATAGACGCAGAAAATGCATTCAATAAAATTCAACATCCTTTTCTAATTAGAACTCAGAAGAATATAGGCACAGGTGGCACATTTCCTAAACTGATCAAAGCCATCTACAACAAACCCACAGCTAATATACTGAATGGAGTAAAACTGAAAGCTTTTCTACTCAGAAGTGGAACAAAACAAGGTTGTCTGCTATTACCACTACTATTCAACATAGTGCTTCAAAGTTCTAGCCAATACAATCAGGCAAGAGAAGGTAATAAAGGGAATCCAAATGGGGGCAGAGAAAGTTAAACTCTTATTCTTTGCTGATAATATGATCTTATATTTAGAGAACCCCAAAGACTCAACCACAAGTCTTCTGGAAGTGATAAAAAAAATACAGTAATGTCTCAGGATATAAAACCAATGTCTACAAATCAGTAGCTTTTGTATATGCCAATAACAGCCAAGATGAGAAGCTAATAAAAGACACAAATCCCTTCACAGTAGCATCAAAGAAAATGAAATATCTAGGAATATACATAACAAAAGAGGTGAAGGACCTCCATAAAGAAAGTTATGAAACCATAAGAAAAGAAACAGCAGAAGATATTAACAAATGGCAAAACATACCATGCTTATGGTTGAGAAGAATCAACATTGTGAAAATGTCTATACTTCCCAAAGAATCTACAGATTCAATACCATTCCTATTAAAATATCAACATCATACTTTCAAGACTTGGAAAAAATAATTCTTCATTTTGTATGGAACCAGGAAAAAAACCTGTATAGCTAAGCCAATTCTTAGTAATAAACCAAGGCCAGAAGCATCAGCCTACCAGACTTCAGGCTTTACTACAAGGCCATAGTGATCAAAACAGCATAGTATTGGCATAAAAATAGAGACACAGATATCTGGAATCGAATAGAAAACCAGGAGATGAAACTAATATCTTACAGCCACCTGATCATTGATAAACCAAACAAGAACATACACTGGTGGAAAGAATCAGTATTCAATAAATGGTGCTGGGAGAACTAGATAACCACATGTAAAAGACTAAAACTGGACCCACACCTTTCTCCACTCACTAAAATTGATTCAAGATGGATAAAAGATTTAAATCTAAGGCATGAAACAATAAAAATCCTCAAAGAAAGTGTGGGGGGAATTACTTGAAGGTATCAGCCTGGGGAAAGACATTATGAAGAAGACTTCAGTGGCAACTGCAACAACAAAAATAAACAAATGGGACTCAATTAAACTGAATAGCTCCTATTCAACTAATGAGACAGCAACCAAAGCAATAGACAACCATCAGAATGGGAAAAGACATTTGCATATTAAGAATCAGACAAAAGCTTGATAACTAAAATCTACAGAGAACTCAAATTAAGCAACAATAAAAGATCAAACAATGCCTTATATTAATGGGCAAGTGAGATGAATAGAACCTTTTCTAAAGAAGACAGATGATGGCTCGGTGCCTATAGCTCAACCGGCTAAGGCACCAGCCACATACACCTAAGGTGGCGGGTTCGAATCCCCAGCCCGGACCCGCC